CATGTTAAAAACTGTCCATAAACTAAATAATTTTGACAACTTTTTTCAAATTGCTGATTTTTTTAATTTTTATTTTATTTTATTTTGAATTTTTGGATTAGGTTTGGGTCAAACCATTTGTGTTCTTTCAGAACTGCCAGTGAATCAAAAAAAATCTGTTATTCGCCCAGCTCTAGTTGTGAGTTTCTCTACTTCAAACATTAGGTCAAATTCATGTCATTGAATTGACTGACAGCTTCAGAGATGGAGCCTTTTACGGCTATGTGAGTCATTTGAATTCAGATCCCTTTGTCAGTGAGTTGAGACTGAAAGTTATTGCAATCTAAAGACTGCTTGATAGCCTGTGTGAAGATATTTGGTGGTCTCTCTCTGTTCAGTGATTAGGGGATAGTGTGCATGAAACAGTTTGCACCATCATTCTTTGGCAATCTAAGCCAGTGGTTCTCAATCAGGTGTATATGTACCGTGGGGGTACACACAGCTCTTCCAGGGGGTACATCAACTCTTCTAGATATTTTCCTAGTTTTACAACAGGCTCCATAAAAAGCACTAGTGAAGTCCGTACAAACTAAAATTTCATACAGACAATGACTTGTTTATATTGCTCTATATACTATACACTGAAATGTAAGTACAATATTTATATTCCAATTGATTTATTTTATAATTATATGGTAAAAATGAGAAAATAAGCAATTTTTCAGTAATAGTGTACTGTGATACTTTTGTATTTTTATGTCTGATATTGTAAGTAAGTAGTTTTTAAGTAAGGTGAAACTTGGGGATACACAAGACAAATCCGACTCCTGAAAGGGGAACAGTAGTCTGGAAAGGTTGAGAGCCATTGGTCTAAGCAAAGAGATCAAGAATGAAATGAACGAGGAGACTGAGCCTCTCTCCTCTAGTGGTGGTAGTACACCACTGTACTCTCTGTAGTACTGCAAGGTACATGGGCAGGGCCATGCGAGGATATTGCGGTGGTATTAGTAATGGTGCAATTGTTTGACAAATATATTAATTAATTAAAGGATTTCTGTCTCCAGAGCTGTTAATCTGGCACCTTTCATAAGCACAAATAATTCAGAGCATTAAAATAAATCTGCGTTACCATAGACTCCTTGTCATGGTTCAGGGCAGCTGCACTTGTGTTCCTCCTCTGGGGTCCATCAAGGGCACTGACTCATAGGTTTCTGGCTCCCAGCCTTCACTTCTCTTGGACAGAGACACGCACCTCTCTTCCTCCTGATTGGGGTATTTCCAGGCTGCACAGCTCCCTGCCTACACTGTGAATTCTCTAGCAAGGCAGACTGCCGAAACGGGCCTGCTTTGCTTTCTCCTCAGAAGCTACGAACAGCATAATTTCCCACAGTGTAAAGTACCACACAGCTTTTTCCTAAGCAAGCACATGTATCCGTAAGGTGAAAGCATTACAGAGAAAACACATTAAAGCAATAAAAGAACCTACACTCATGCTAATAAGCATACCAAAGATAACCCAAACCCCAAAGGGTTTTTTCTGTGTCTACAAATTCATAACATCGTTTGCTCAGAACCAGAACCCCCAGCTGCTGCTTTATACAGTTTGGGCCTTTGATCTTGGGAACGGATGATCAGCAATCAATGGGTTTCTCCTAGGGGCGGAGCTTCAAAAGGTTGGGTCTAGAGATGAGAATTTGCATTCCCCTCCTCCCACATATTTCCTAGGAAACACACTCAACTACAAGTTTGCTTTTACCTGGCATATCATTTAAAAGAGTCCTTAGAAACTCATACCACTTCCCAGGGTTTACATTAGTCAGGTTTCCTCCCTACACATGTTACATACAATCCCTCAATCATACATAAACAATTGCATTTTTAATACAATGAACTCCTAAAATACTTAAACTTAATTCAATAAGGTTTGTCCCGGATATTGCAAGAAATTGCCATATCTGTCATACTCCTCACTTTTTTTTATTCTTCATGCTTTTGATTTACTGTACTCTTTTCGTGTCTTTACTGATTGCCACTTCTTGAGCTAATATGGCATTTTCTCTCTGGGAGCTTAAGCAAGCATTTGCCTTTTTGCCCATTACAGATGTTGTTCACCAAGGGTTAGACAAAGGAAGCCATCACTCTTCCCTAAGAGATAGAATCTGTCACTTCTGTTGTCCAATGAGTGACTGACATGCCCATGTCTACCTCATTTTCGAACTGGTTCCTTTAATCTTACAGAATTATTAGTTTTTTTCAGGAATAGGCCAAAGTGTGTGGCAAATAGAAATTGTTCCATTGCTTGCTGCGTAACCAATAATGCAGCAGAATGAAAAGCAGCAAAAACTACTTCTAAGATTAGAAACCAGCTACTGTATTTGTAGGTGTGTGTGGCAGGCCAGGGATAAAACCCCTTTAAAGCCCTGCCAAAATGCTGGCTACAGCCTGCTCTCTGGCCAGTAGGCCAGGTGTAGAGATGCAGGTACTCAGCAGGGAGCCCAGCTGCAAGCCCTAACAAGGGCTGGCTCAGATGAACATGCTGGGCTAAGTAGTGACAGCTGGGCTGGGGCAGGAGAGGGATATGAAAGCCCTGGGCAAACCTCAGTGGGGAGGCTAGCCTGGGAGGAGACAGGAGGCCAGTATCTCTGTCTCCTTGCCAACAAGGAAGCCTCAAGGGCCAGGAGACCCTGGGGAGGGTCTGTGGGGCACTAACTGTTGGAGGATCTGGGAACTGCACAAGCACTGTAAATAAAGACACGGGTGGTCCAACAAAAGAAGGAGTGAACACTTTTTATTATACCAGCCTAAACACAGGGTGCAGGCACAAAAGTGGGAGAGCCTGCGCCGACCCTGTGACAGTGTGTGTAAAGTACTTTCTGAGCACTCTTATGGAAACACAGCAATACATTTTGATCTGATACACCTCTACCTCAATATAATGCTGTCCTCGGGAGCCAAAAAATCTTACCGCATTATAGGTGAAACCGTGTTATATGGAACTTGCTTTGATCCACCGGAGTGCGCAGCCCCACCCTCCCAGAGCACTGCTTTACCGTGTTATAGCCGAATTCGTGTTATATCGGGTCGCGTTATATCGGGGTAGAGGTGTGGTTTCTTGCACAATTTTAGGGAATGGGGCAGGGGCATGAGCATTCCCCAGACACTCTCAGTATGTGATTTACTAGTGAGAAAAATACGGATACATTTTATATATTACTCTCCAAGAGCCTGATTCTTCCAGCCCTTACTCATGCAAGTAATTCCAAGTGAATATCTTTAAAAGCTTTCCCCTTTCCCCCACCCATTTAATTTTTCTGAGTGACTTTGTTGCTTTGAAAATGCTAAACTGATAGCACTGGAGACTGAAATCCTTTAACTGTCTACAGAACAGTTGATCTAGGTAGCAGCAGTGTATGTTACTACAAATATGAATTTTATTATGTATCTTTACAGACCATGGCCTCTCTGCTGAGATCAGGTGTTTAATTTTCCCAATGTGTGTGTGTGTGTGTGTGTGTGAGAGAGAGAGAGATAGAGAGAGAGAGAGTTAAAAGTTACACAGTGGTTGGTGAAGAGCAGCAGTCAGTATTATTCTTGTTATCTTTGTTACATGAGAGCACAAAGTTAGGAAGAAATGGGCAAAGGTGATAACATACCATTAGACTAAGTCCCCCTTCCTTTTATTCTTTAAAAAAGCCTGTGAATATAAAGCCACCTAGTGAAGTAATAAAGTTCAAGGTTAAAGGAACACTGCAAAGATAAAAATGATAGCTTTTTGAAAGTCCTGACCAGTGGATAGAAAAGCCAACTTCATCCTGGGTGTAGCTCCATTAACTACAATGGAGTTGCACTGAAGATGTATTTAGAGTATAGACCCTAATTTACTTTTCACTGTGCTGTTTGTTAATTCATTGCATTTCATTCAGCATGCACTGCTCTCTTTCACTCATTGTGTCTGGTCAATTTCATGTTCTCATGCATTTCTGAGTTTGACTACTGAGAGCACTGTGACTCCTCACAGATGCAATGCATCTCTCTACCATTACCTTTCCTTTATCTGTTTATTCACTCATTGAGTATTGCCTAGAACTTAAACTGTGAGCTCTCTGGTACTGGCTTAGCATTATTTCTTACAACTACACCTAGTTCAACAGGGCCCTAATTCTTTTTTGGAAACTTATAAAAACAGAAACAATAAATAGTAATGTGTCATTGTCTTTGGGTTTCCAAGAGTATAGGAAATTTCTTAAATCTACCTCACTCCTGTTTTCACATGAGAACACTGCTATTAACATTAGGGGGTTGCACACTTGGTAGCTTGTATAGGCTGAGCTTATTGCACTCGCCAAGGGCTCCTTGCATCCCTCCATTCTCCCCCAGAAGCTCCCTGTGTGCCACACTCCCATCCCCCTCTAGTTAAGGGACTCCATGCAACCCCAATCTCCCCGTGGCAGGGAATCCTGTGTGCCATCCATTCTGCCTGTCTCCCATTCCTGGGCCCCCCGTTCTCTTCCCCATGCCAGTGGCTCTTTGTTCACCCTCATTCCCACTTCCCCTTATGCCCTACAGTACACTCTTCTGCCCCAACGGTAGGGGCTCTGTGTATCCCCATACCCACCTTCCCCCATTCCAGGGTCCCCCAATGTCCCCCCACCCATTGGGGTTCCGTGTGCTCCCAGTCCCCTCATACCAGGATTTGATCAGATGTGACATTCAAAAGTTATGTTACAAAAGACAGATAATCCGACAGACAGACAAACAGAGAAATACCATTGAGTTGCATGTAAAGCCTCACAAGCTCAGCCAATTAGCTTATTAAACCTTTTTTTTTTTAAATAAAAGCCAACCACATTTTGTATCTAAACTACTGTCTCTTTAAAGATTCTTCATTCACATAATTTTGTTTTTTAATTTCGCTTTCAATTTGGTTCATGTTGGAGCCCATTACTGACAGAGTAAGAAGTCTCTGAGGCAAATTCTCATCGGGTTTTTTTTTTTTTTTTTTTTTTTTTTTTTTTTGGCAGGTTGACAGGACAGAAGTGATTCGAACCTGTATAAATCCAATCTTCTCCAAGTTATTCACAGTGGACTTCTACTTTGAAGAGGTTCAGCGGCTACGGTTTGAAGTCCATGACATTAGCAGCAACCACAATGGCTTGAAAGATGCAGATTTTCTTGGTGGCATGGAATGCACTCTTGGACAAGTAGGTGTCTCCCTCTTCTCTCCTCCCCCCCGTCCCCCAACTTCTGTTAGTATTGATACTAAATATATTGCTTTGCTGAAAGACCCATTGAGTGAAATTCATCAGATGTGTTAAAATTATTCTCCTTCACCACTTTGGTGCTTTATACGGGACTAATACACAGAGAGGTGTTGTTGATTTGAACCTTCTTCAGGTGCACCTGGGACATACGAGACAACGACTCTTGATCCACCAGCAATTTGCCTTTTAAGTTAAGGGCCCAGTTCTGCCTCACATAAATTGAGCAGTACTGCATTGCTTAAGTAGCCTCATTAAAATTAGTGACACTGCTTTGGGAGTAAACTATTACTCATATGATTACATGGCACATACAGCAAAGACTTAGGAACCTACTTAACTTTGCTCACATGGGTGAGTAAATGGGACTGTTAGCTTGCTTATAGTAAAGGAGGTGGATAAATGTTGTCAGAATTGGGGCCCACATAAGTCAGGGTGGCAGAATCAGGTCCTAAATGAGCAATACATATTGTGCCAGTGCCTGCTTATGTAAAAGGAGACATAAGCAGCTTCTAGCAGGGTTTATTTCTAAATGGCAGGCTTTTTGCTTTGAAGGGTTGAGGTATATTGGATCCCAGCTTTATTCCTGATAACAGTACTAAGGACTGTCTTAGTCTTGTTAAGTCGTCATGCACCAGCTAAACTGAATGTAATTGAACATTTTGTGGTTAGGAGTAACATATCCTACGGTGAGAGCTGGCAAGGAGCTTTGTGAACCTCTGGTTTGGATTACACTTTGCAACGCTTCCACTTAAACTTGTAACAGGAACAATATTGCTTTCCACAGTAGAAGCAACTGCTTTCACTACCCTCCCTCCCCAAGAATTCCTCCTTGTCCTCCTTATTGATGTTCAGGAAAAGCAGGAGCAATTGAAGATTGCTCTCAGGAAGCTTGGATCACAGAGGCATCCTTTGAATCTCAAGGAGGCTAGAAGGAATAGTTTGTCAGGAAAATCCAAATGATTACCCGAAGAAGAGCTCTGTGTAAGCGCCAAAGCTTCTCTCTTTCCCCAACAGAAGTTGGTCAAATAAAAGATATGCCTCACCCACCTTGTCTGTGATTACAGGCAGTTTTATCTACAGCACCATCAGTAAGGCTACGATTTTGTCATGGAGGTCACGGAAGTCATGGAATCCATGATTTCCAAAGACCTCTGTGTCTTTAGCACCAGCAGCTGGGAGCTGCAGGGTCCCGCCACCTCCCACAGTGGCAGGGAGCTGTGAGGTACCCCTGCTGCCTGAGGCAGCGAGCCCCCAAGCTCCGAGCCGCCATGGGCATTGGGGGTACCCTGCAGCTTCCAGCCATGGTGGGCTGGGGGGATCCCCGCAGCTCCCCGGCCGTGGTGGTGGGGCAGGGAGACCCTCACAGCTCCCCACCTCTGGGGAGGGAGGCGGAAGGGGGACCCTGAAGTTCTGAGCCCCCTAGGGTGGTGGGGGCCCCGGAGCTTCTAGCCACCTGGCAGCTAACCAGCCCCTTCCCATTATATCATGGATATTTTTAGTAAAAGTCAGGGACAGATCATGGGCTTCTGTGAATTTTTCTTTATTGCCCGTGACTTATCCATGACTTTTACTAAAAATATCCATGACAAAAACTTAGCCTTAACTGTCAGCAATGTGCTGGAGGCGGCTCTCAGGAGCCCCTTGTTAAAAATCTATCACCAAACTCGAGGGAGGATTGGGTTGATTTCCCTGCTTTGGATACTGCTATATCATCCCTGCCAAACATGACTTCTTTTGCGGGGGTCATAAAAAATACTTCTGAGAGAGCAAATGTGTTTCTTTTCGAACGGTCCAGACTACACCAAAATGGGCCCAATGGGACAGCTAAACCTGTTATAATTTACAGTAGCCTTGTGAATGCTCTAAATTATACCGGGGCTGTTTTGGTCCCAGGATCAGGAAAGAGGAGCCCCCTCCCTTCTTCCCCCCTTCTCCTCAGCTGCACAGCACAGCTGAGTAATTGGCCCTATAAATGTGTGGTAAGATATAAAAGAAAGGTTCCATAGGAAGGAAAGGTTTCTCATTGGTTTTATAAAACACAAATGTATAGATTTGTAGTTTTGGTAGATTAAAAGGGATGGATGGGTAATTAGGATCTTTAAAATGCACGATAAACCATGTTCTTTTTGGCAGTGCTGTTGAGGGCATATTGTGGTCTCAGTCAAAGAAAAGGAGCTGTTTATAGAGAGGGAAAAAAAATATAGAAAATAATGTATTAAATGTTTTTTCTTAATTGGTTTTAAAATGCAAAAACCTCATTGCTGCTGCCATTCGCAAAAACATGCCCTTATAATGATTCTGCCTCTATAAATAACACACAGCTGGCTTGGTTGTGGTGTAATTTTACTGTTAATGGTACCAAGAAAAAATAATAACAACATGGAATCTGACTCCAGAAATATAGCCTTGAAGTTTTTGATAACGTAGCTAGGCTGTTTATGTTTTTAAATTTTGCATAATTCATCAACGCTTTTAAAAATATGATATTAGCAGTGGAATTGACACCCAAATGCAGCTAAATATGAGACCAGGATTGAAAATCTTGCAGCAGAGATTCTACATACGGCACTTACTCCAACACTTAGCAGTTTTCTGTAATTACTGTATTTTGTAGGATGATAATGGGATGGCTGCTGTTCTTCAGCTAACTTTGACATGAATTTGTTGCTACACTGCAATTTAATGGGTGCATAAAACGTTATGACTTTTTGTGCCTGTCTATCAATTCAGTTTCTTTCCCATCAAAAATAGGAGATGTTATATGAAACATAGGATAGACTTTGGGTTCTTATACATAATCTAAAAGACTGAGGGTTTTTTCATAAATATGCCATGTTTCCTTCTTTTGTTGCAGGTAGAGGTTGACCAAAAAGAAATAAACCATTACCTGAATCTGTGTTTAGATTATTTTTTACATGTGCACTAACCCTGCACTTTGAGATTAATCCCTGTAATACTCCCTTCCAAAAGCAAGATCTATCGGAATCATGTTAGTCAAAGATGATAGATGATGATTTAGCTCATTTGGGAAGGCAATGGTATGGACAACATGCTACTTGCTCTAACCAGACAAAAGTGGGTCTCTCTTTCTTCAGAGATACTCAGATCTTTGTGAGGGACCTCTCTTCTATGGCACACAGCCTGCAACCAGGGCTTAATTTGTAATGAAAGGTGCCGGGGCTCAAGCAATTAGGTGTTGGGGCTCAAGCAATTTTTTTACATTCCTAACTGATGCAGCAAGCCTAAACGTGCCAGAGCTATGAACTCCCAAGCCTAACGGTCCTGGGGCTCAGCCCTGGCAAGCCATGGCACAAATTAAGCACTGCCTGCAACCATATTACCGACAGATGTGATCTTGTCAGATGTTATAGACCAAAACCAATGTTGGGCCTTGGATGGAAGACTTGGAAAATCCAAGTACTTCAGGAAGTGAGGCTGGTAGCATTCTTCTCCGTGATTCAGCGGTGAACCAATATCCCCACACAGTGATGAGGGCAATGAGATGCAGCCCCGTTAGGCTCCAACCACTTAGAATGATGAATGGTACCACTGAACTTTTAACAAAAGTAGGAGTGTTAGTTCCAATGACCTGACAAGAGTCAGCCTCTTGTAATTCTGCCTGCCTACATGTGAATCTCGCAAGTAGCGGGATATTGGCATGGAATCATTATTTGTAGCTTGAAGACTAAGTGTAGATACATTCAGCATACCTTTCAGATTGCTAGGCTATTTGTATGCAAGTATAACAAAGAGCCATACATTGCTGTGTGCAATTAGGAAAAAGTCAATATGCTAAATAGAGACATTTATTTCAAAGTTATTTTTTTCTCCCCACTCTTAACAGTAGCCCTTTCAAATAAAACAGCAGCAGTCTTCCTGATTGTTACAGTTTAAAAAAAATAATATTTAAAATCTTTTCTTCCTTCAGAGGCAGCAGCATGACTGAACTGAGCTGTTGAGCCAGGCTCTCCACTCTGAAATGACCTTTCAATGTCATGTTTTTCTTAACTTCCCCATGAAGAGTCCTTGCAATCTAATATTAATTGCACCATATTAATACATATATTCCATGCAAAAATTAGTGGCACATTAATACAATGCTACATTGAGAGATTAAGCTTTAAAAGTTAGGAAATTCTAAGGGTTAATGTTAAAAGGTCAAGTTTAATTCTGCCTACTTGTTAACATTGCCTTAAAATATGCTCTCTCTTTAGATCGCATAATATCATATAAAAGATTATACAAACTGAAATTTCTTATACAGCTTACATATGTGGGATGTACTGTGCTGTACTACACCAGTTAAAACAAGGAGAAGTCCTTGTGGCACCTTACAGACTAACAAATTTATTTGGGCATAAGCTTTCGTGGGCTAAAACCCCCTTCATCAGATGTGTGGAGTGGAAAATATAGTAGCAGGTATATATACACAGTACATGAAAAAATGGGTGTTGCCTTACCAAGTGCGGGGACAGTGCTAACAAGACAATTCAATTAACAGTACCAAGGGAGGAAAAATCACTTCTGTAGTGGTAATGAGGGTGGCCCATTTCAAACAGTTGACAAGAAGGTGTGAGTAACAGTAGGGGGATATTAGTATGGGGAAATACACCAGTTAAGTTTTCCACCAAATATTACTTCATTTCTAAGGGCTTGTCTACAAGGCAAGTTACTGCATGGCAAGCTAGGGTGTGAATCTACAGTGCACTAGCTTGCTGTGTAGTAACATCCCGTGTGGGTGCTGATACAGCGCAGCAAAAACCCCAGAGTGTGGCTTAGCACTGCTACTTTGAAGTAGCAGTTGTACGCTGAGCCACATTCTGGAACTTTCACTGTGCTGTAGCAGGGCCCTCACAGGAACTTACTGCATGGAAAACTGATGCGCTGTAATTTCACACCCTCGCTGCCATGTAGACAAGCCCTAAATTTAATGTGCAAAA